GAAAGAGACGGAAAAATCCCTATATATTTGTTTTTTACTTAGTATTGTCTCTTTACGAAGTTTTACAACAGAAACATACTAAGCAAGGTATTTACCAATCGTTAAGCATTTCGTATCTGTCATAGGAAATGTACTATTAGCTACACAAGCTAAAAATACTTCTTATCCATTAATGGTCACAAGATTTCTTCTTTAGCTTATGTGACTGTACCAGTGAGCGATATTCAACATCGTCAGGACACCCAGCGTTGGTATACAATGCAACTGGCCTCCTCATCTGCCATGCCTATCGGCATAAACATTGCTTCTGGTCAAAACGGCTTATTTGCAGTAACACAGGAAGCTTCGAACCTATCACCCACCGCCAAAACCTCCTCACCTGCCTCCCCGAACTTTACAGTCACTAGCCAAGAATGTTTATCAGCAGTTAATCCGACTCCGAGCCCAGCCACGATTAATGGCAAATCATCAAGTTCAAGCATCAACCGACGAACCGCCTCTACTACTGCCTTGCAAGCACCTAGAAGCCAACTAAATCCCGTAACTAAAGAAAATATTTCTGATGCATCTTCATTAGAGCTTCTGTCAAAGCATACGACAAAAATTCCTGCTCACTGTCAAGTATCTGCGCCAGTCTCACCAGCAAGTCCAGCCAATGTAGCAGGGCCAAATGTCGAAGAGCGAATCACTCCAAAGCCTCGCCTGGTAGCAACACGTCTTATGGGCTCAAGTTCGGCTAACCAACTGATTAGCGAGAAGACACCTCGCAAGGCTCGTGAGCCACCACCAGTCGAAAAAGTTCTGCAGGCTAGTCTTCTTGAGTTTGCTGGACTAGCTGCCTCCCTGCCTGCTTCCTCGACAAATACATCCGGCTCATCAGGGATAGCTACAGAACCAGTACTGGCTAATTTTGTCCAAGATTCAGGATTGGGAACGGGTGGAAAATCGTGTCCACAAATCCGCTTAAAGCTGCGATATCAGTCTATAGATGTCCTTGCTCTCCAATGCTACAATGATCTGCGATGGGTGAGTCCAAAATAGTTAAAGCAAATCGAGAATATGTTTAATAGAATAATGTACTCAGCGGGTTAAATGGTACGGGTCATACACAGCTTTCCTTCCTAAATTCTAATAAGTATGTTTAGACTTAAACTGTTTGATGTGCTATTTTAAAACTTATGATTATACAGAGTATAAGATTAACCGAGAGAGACCATTTTGACAGATAGCTAGATCAGCTTCAGTTAATATTTGGTTGGTTTGTCCTCATTTTCGCAACTTAGTTGGAGCGGCAGGGAGACTTTGTAGAAGGTACATAGTCCTGCCTCGTCTATCCAAATATATATGATGATTTCCTGTATCGTACCAGTGACTTAGTACATTTTTAGAAGTTGCCCCGGCAGCCTAGTCGACATTGCTAGTCAGAGGTCTACTCTTGGCGCAGAGTTACAACTTATCAAAGTGACAAATGAAGGCCACCACCTCGACCAATTTTATGTACAACCATTGCGGCACCACTCCTCTCCTTTTTTTGTCCTCCCAAATTCCAGTGCTGCACCACTTCATATGATCCGTATGCCTATTCACACGATTTTCTGTTCTCGTTTCCTCTACTGCCGCCTAAAAGTGATTCGCTTTGCATAGAGTCAGTGAAACATAATCATATTCGCCACCAGTTTCAGCTGCAGTTCGCGGGGCTTCTAAGTCATAGGTTCTGACTTTAATTTAGCCCATTCCTTCACCTCGCTTCCCCACTATACATAAAAATCACTGCCTTTCTGGCTCTCTGCCAGCCTTCGCTTGTCGTGCCCATCTAAGATATATTAGATAACCTAAAAACTGGTGCTTATCATGTCCGGGCATCTTCTTCTCCCTAGGTTTAATACTCCTGACGCAATTAGCCTTTATCTCATCCCCATTTCATTCTCTTGCTATGTTCTCTACTATTTCGTTAAATGTGGGCTTTTTATCTGACGATGTCTGTCACAGAGGTACAGACGAAAGCTTAGCACAGGTTAATCGGAGTCGCGCGACAGTGAGCCGAGGACTATTTAACAAAATCCAACCATCTCCAATCCGCGGAAATCCTCCTTCTAGTTCCGGCGAGACCATTTCACGAATTTCTCCCAACCAATTTTTCCTTCAAAATGGAAAGATGTCACGATAAATGTTTTCAGCTATCTATGACCGTTCGACATCCATTGTCAGGCTGAGTTGCTGGGAGACTTTGATCTTTGCGCTGTATGTCCTTCCCGTCTCTCCGAAGAACTTTTGTCTTCACTCCCTGCAGTTTATGTCGGAGCACCCCATTTTGTTGACTTTTTCATTGCATGTGGTCAAGATAATGAAGAGGATTCTATTTTAATAGTAGCTGCCGTAGCATCTGAGCCATTTCATAGGCGGGTGAACATATCAATCATTTTTCCTTTTCTGTTCTTTAATAATCCGTCTCATCTCATCACCTTGCGTATGATGCGTTCTTTTGTGTACTCTGGATATCCTTTTCTAATAGTTAGTTTTTTTAAGATGTGAAGACCAAGATTTTGTGGCCTCGAGTATGGTCGCAGAAGTTTTTTTAGTTCATCTTATTATAACTCATTATTGGTTAGTCTAAAAGCTTCTTATGACTATACTCTTGAGCACTCTAATCTTCATTCAATACGTATGGTGAGACTATATTGAGATTTCTTTCGGAATGGCTCTTTCTTAATAGTCTCCTCGGAGCGAATAACTTCAACATCCCAAAAGAAAACTGTCCATTTTTTTCGAAATCCATTGGAAATTCGACTTTTTACTTAATAGCTTTTTAAAAAAAGATGCTGAATTCTGCCTATTTCTCTTTTACCTGCGGCTAGAGAGCGAATTATTCATCCGAATATTGCATAATTACTGTTGACTGCTCGAGTGAAGTTTTAAAATTATCCTCTAACTTGCTTATGCAGACATTAGCCAAGAGAGATAAGAGTGGTGAGCCTATGGGCAGACCAGATATTTGTTCATGGATTTGGCCGTGAGTCGTATTATTAGATTGATTGATAGGTTTAGACTCTTTTAGGATTCGCTCTTTCTCCATGATTTCGTCTTCGCTTTTCAAGATCTCCAGCAGTGCCTAGAATACTATTTATCCTAAAATATTCGTGTACATGGACTGCTTTTTCTTCCTCACCAATATGGTGCCATTGATGCTCTGGCAAAATTTGTATTAATTCCTCGATAAGCTTACGTCAAATTTCTTTACTTTGAGGTAGATAAAATTCGCCAGTTTATGCGTTGCACCGTGTTTATTGTCCTCTATCCGTCACAAGAATTTGACTTTTTTGTGTTTTTTTTGGCGCTTGCTTCCCTTCATAGTGATGAATTCACTATCAAATTGTTGATTTCTGCATTCGCATTTATTTCCTTCAGCATTTCTTGCAGTGTCTCTTTTATTTTAACATTTGAGTCTGGTGTTATGTCCCTGAGAATATTTCCCACTTCTCTGTACAGCACTAATTTGGTACCTGCTTTATTGGCCTGTAGAACTATTTGCTAGTTTTCTTACAATTTGTATGCATTTTAGTTATATCGTTCCTATTCCTGCCTAGGCTCTTAATGTGCCAAAGTAGCTAAGATGGTTTCCGTTTCTAGTTCGATTTTCGATT